AGGCTAGTCTCAGACTGGAGATTATGTTCTTTTTTTAAAAAAATTATTTTGTAATTTTTTCTAATTAGTGGAATGCATTTTGACTCATTGTACACAATTGCAGCACAACTTTCATTTCTCTGCTTGTACATGATGTAACATCGTACCTTATGTGCAGCCATACTTGTACCTAGGGTAATGATGTCCATTTCATTCCACCATCTTTTCTGCCCTCATGCGCCCTCCCCTCCTCTCCCTTCCCTTTGCCCAAAGTTCCTCCATTTTTGAGATTATGTTCTTGATATATGTATTTAAAACATTGGTGGACAAATAGTCTAATAAAACTGAGCAAAAGAGAAAAATTATTTAGCCAATTAGTTTGAACAAAGTTTCTCCACATCATTATTCTTGTAGAAAATGCAAATTATTCCCACAAATAACAACATCTCATGAAAAAGTCCAAAATTTAAATATCTCACAATTGCAAGAAAGGGTTGCAAGTGGAACATTCAGATGTTGGTGGAGGAATTATGAATTGGTAACTATTTTGAGAAATATCTGGTAGTGTCTATTCAAGGTAAATATGGACCCATGTGGACCCATGGAGTATACTCCTGGGATTATATAAAATGGAAATAAGTGAAGTTCTTACATAGTAGTGAAAAGCTGGAAGTAACCTAAATTCCCATCAACAAATCAATAAATGACTAAGTGGATTTTAGAATGGTAATTTTCCACACAGGATTTAAATTTTTTTCTTCTGTTCTCCAGTAAAAATGGCTCCTATCAAAAAGATAAAAGATTTAAAAAAATAAAACTGATGAAGATGCACAGAAAAGAGATCCCTTACACATCATTGGTGGAGATATGTATCAGTACAGCCTTATGGGAACAGTATGGAGGTTCCTCAAAAAAACAAAAATAGAACTACATATGATCCAGAAATACCACTGCTAAGTATATATCTAAAATAAATGACATTTGTATGTCAAAAAGATATCTTGTCTGGACCACAGCCCAGATATGCTAGGACAGCAGGATAGGTTGCTGAGAGACCAAAGAAAATACTCAAAGACATTGTGTAACACATAAGTTTATTAAAAAATGCTTATGGGGAAGGTCCAATGGTCATGGGTTGAACAAATAGTGCTCTTGATGTTTATATGTCAGTTTAAAAAACTTTACTGCTATACACTACATTGAAGATGAATTCATTGATTTAATACTATGTCAAAGAAAGCAGAAACCCACAGCACATACCATATAATCCAATGTGTATGAAGTTTAAGGACAGATAAACCTAATCTCTAGTAAGTAAAATGAGAATAGTGACTACTCCTGGGGAAAGGGGTGGAGTAAAAATAAGAAAGGGTAGAGGGGAAGCGTCCATGGGCTGAAAATGTTCTTCACCTATGTGGTGGTCACCCAGGTGTATACCTAGGTAAAATTCATCCAGATGTACCCTTAAAATCCATTCACTTTATTCATTGTATGCTGTTAAGAGTAAAGTAAAAAATAAAACACAAAAATATATTAAGCAATATCAGTTAAAAGAATATTTTTAAGAGCAGTAATAGAATCCATGAAATAATGAAATGCTATCTTCAAGATTTCAAGTATGATACCTAGAGAAATTCTAATACCAAAATGAAAGAGAATTCAGAACATTTTCATGCAAAGAGTAGGAAAGAGATTGGTAAAAGAATGGATAAGGTTTTACTTTAAATTAAAAAGGAAGAAATGATGCCCATAAAAATATGATTTGAAATACTTTTATCCTGTTAATGAACTTGAATAAGCATATCTTCATTAAATATTAATAAGGTATTATTAATAATAAAATACTAATAATAAAGTCACCACTATAATAAATTTTTCTTAATAAACCAGATATGCTGGATGTAATTTTAAGTATAGCATGAAGAAACTGAATTATTATAAAACACATAACAAATAAAATAGAAATATATAAAACAATATGAGTAAAATATAATAAATACAATGATATCATATGTATATTTATGTAAATAAGTAATTTATAATGTAACAAAATATGATAAATATTATGTCAGATTATCATTTTTCTCCTATATTATGAACTATGTATGCATTTTACACATTAATATATATTATGGAATAGCCATATGTACATATAATCCATATAAGGAGGACTATATTACATAGTAGTAAGAATGGGTGGAGAAATTATCTGTCTAATAAAAAGGAGAACTGAAAAAAAATAGAGTGAATAGAAAGCCCAATCAGTTGCAAAAGGAATAAACAGATTAGAATTTATTGGTCATAACAGAGAATGTAAAAATAACAAAATTACCAATTAAAGACACAGATAAAACATAAGAACAAAGAAAGTTTCAGACCCAAAGCAGACACAAAGCAAACAATCATGGTGTAACTCAGACAAAATGTAGAGCAACAAATACGGTAAGTCCTAGTTTATTTTTTCCCACTTCCACAAAAATAGTCATTAGAACATGCTTCAAATGTAGTATGAAACTCTTCTGAATTTAATTATTAGTACTTTCTATTAGTTTTAACTAAGTTTCTAAATTAGAACTAATTATTACTAGAACTAAATTATTAGCATTTTCTACTAATTTATGAGATAATTTTGAAAACATTCCTCACAAGCTTGAAGAAATCTTATTGCTCAGAATTATGGTAAACTTGAACTAAGAGATGGGGAAGTGTTCTGTTTGGATACAATTTACCCCAGAGGGTTTAATTACTTAGACTGAGAATCTAGGTTTGACATAGTGATTAAATGAATGTTTCCCCTTCCTGGTCCATGGCTTTTATAATGAGATTTTGTAGATCCACTCACAAATGAAGCATAGTTTACTTACTGCGTCCTCAATCCTGAGTAAGACTTACTTTGGTCAAGTTGGTATTACAAGTTATGAGGAAGGCAGAGGTTTGAAAAGTAAATCAAGTTTCAACTCGTGTTCTTACTTCCATGATTTCCATGATAGTATGCCTGGCCTTGGCTGCTGGAGCATGAGGTAGATGGGCCAGAGCTGGATATTTCAGTTGTCCTAGATTAGCTAACAACTGGTTGGTCTTCAGACATGAGTGAGCTCAGCCAAGCTCAGAAGAACTGCTCAGCTTAGCTCTCTCTAAATTGCTATTCTGCTCATCTATGGGTAAAATATATCATTATTATTTTAAGCCTCTGAGTTTTGGAGTTATGCACTATAATTATGGCAATAGCTAAATCAACAACAGGAAATATGGATGCTTAATGGAACATCCTACGGTGTGGCTTGGAGAAGATGAGAACACATTGCATTACTGTGGATTAGGCAGGTCCCCCAAGATGCTTTGTATTGACTCCATGGTTAAATATGTCATGGTTCAGGCTCTGGGATTTCTAAGTCCAATCACAATGGAGTGACTACTGAAGTGATTTCTTGTGTATATATACGAATTATTCCTCAGTTGACAAAAGTTTGAGAGTAAGGTTCAGGCAAAGAGAAACAAACAAAAATCAGTAACTGTCAGCATTGACCAGACTTGAGTCTCTTATGTATCCTTCTTGGCCCAATCCCAATCAAACCCAATTAAACCTTATTTCTCCTAAATAGAACTCTGCGTCCTCCCTTTTTTAACTTCCTCAGGGACCACTTTGGATCATCACGTGATTTTATCCTTTGCAAGGTTTTAAAAAAATCTGTATTTTTTTAAATGAAGAATTCTCTAATTCCTAATTCTCTAAATTCCTTTGCAAATTTGATACATGTACATGCATGTGGATGTATGAGTACTCTCGCTTTTTCAGAGAATCCATGCTGCCTCATTCTATTTTTTTTTCCTGATAGCTGGGATTTCTTTTTCTTTTCAGCTTGAAATTCTGCATTAAGGAACTGACAATGATTCTCGGCATGCAGAAGAAACATTTTTTTTCAAAGAAATTCAGGTTTACTAACGTCCTATTTTAATATAAGTGAGAAGCATAAAACCAATAGTCAGTGAAAGTTTGAGGTGAATGTCATCATACTATCACTGGGTTGTAATGGATTTTATCTGGTTCTAACCCAGATTTGCCAAATGAAAAAAAAATTCTGAGTGACTAATAGAATTATCAAATGCTATACAAATGGAAAGTGAAAGAATGTAAAATATCAAGTTTTTTTTTTTTCTTTCTTAGTTAATACATTCACTTCACTACTACTCACTTGTAGGAAAAGGTAATCTCATGGAGATTTGGTCATTTAGATCACTTCAGTTTGAAGTAGAAACTGTTTCGATTTTTGACTGACTACTGAAACTCCTCATTTATTTTCCACACCTTTAAAGTTCCTGTGATACTAGGATGACTTTGGTCTGGTTCTTTACTCTCAACTTTTTTTAATCCTAATTCTCAACCCACTCTATCCACCTCAATTGCGAATCACGGTAGCTACAATAACAAGGTCTTTGCATTTGACAAGTGGCATGACATTCTTATGTTCACTATTCTGATCCACAGAACAAAAACTTATACTGATGGACAATATGTCAAATAGTCCAATGTCTGCCTGGCAAGAAAGTAAACAACAAAAAATTTACTGAAGAATACCTAGAAGTAACATTTAAATGAAGAAATGAATGAGTGTGACTGATAATGTGAACATCATTAAATGTAGTCACAGTTACTCAGAAGCAAAACACAGTGGTTATTTCATTCATTTTATACAAAACTAAGGCAGGTGAGTGCCAACACTCTCAAAGATACATAAACATTCACTAGAAGATCTTGCAGTAGGACCTTTGTTTCCCCATTCCAGACACACATTCATTCTCCTAGGATGCAGGGGAGACAGTATATCCTCATCCCAGGATCAAAGGGTCACCAGAGATTTATGCTTTGACTAAATCAGCAATCTGTCTCTGAAAGTAAAGAAAGGATAGTGATTAGATTGCTTGGCACTCTGAAGCTCAGGGAACTCTCCCTACTTGTAAAGCTTGACATGCATTCATCTCCCAAAAGCTCAACTTGCTTTACCTGCTTCAAAGCATGCTTTCTCATTGCAAGGTACAATGGAAGCAAGATTGTGGGCCTCCTTGTCTGAAACCCAGCTACAGGTTTGGGTACTGGTTGCAGTTGCCTACCAAGCACTGTGTACTCGCTGCACAGAAGTACGTGGCTGAGTCTTCAGGCTGGGAAGCTGCAATGTGCAGAGACAGGTGTTTGGCACTCTGGTTGAGGAAAACTGTGAATCTTCCATTTTTATTTTTATCATCATCCGAAAGTACAGATATCAGGAACGTGGGACCTTTACTAGGGTACTTTTTGTACCATGCAAAATACTCAAATATGTTCTTATTATAGTCACACTTCAGAATAGAATTTCTTCCTTCTTGGACAGTCAGAGATGGAGGATTTTGCATAAACTGCTGGTCATTATTCTTCTGTTGACTCTTTGCCCCTGTTTGGAAAGAAAATAACAACTCTAAAATTTTGTTCTTAATGTCCCTAGAGAAGACCTGCAGAAGTCAGAAAACAAAACTTCCCAATTATGTAATTTTCCATCCTGTGAGTATTCCTTAGAGTTTTCTTACTATATTCAAACATCTCATCCCCAACTCACCGTCTGGCTGAAGCCACAGAATCAACAAGGAGGCCCCCAGGAGCCTGGCCATTCCTCCTGTGAAGACTCAGGCTGTTTTGTCTGCTGCCCTGGAAACTGCAGGTCTGACTTCAACTTCCTCTAGTTCATTCATTTCCTGCCACAGACCTATTTCACCTGGGAACAGCCCTGTTTTTACCTCAAGTTATTTCTCTTTATGAAAGGAAGCACTGCCCCCTTTAGTTCAAATGTAAAAATACTGAAAATCTATTTCTGTTTCCTAATCAATTTGCAATGTCTTCCCCACAAAACAAGTTAAAATAAGAAATTGAAAGAGAAGATTTTCAGGTATCACATATTTTAATGTGTGTGTGATTTGCAATAGTAGAGAAAGATAGCTGAGAATATAAAGAATTTTATTAGGTAAAATGATTGGCACATTTTCAGACTCCTTATTCTAACATATTGAAAAGAATTGGTGGTTATTGGGGCCATATAAGGTCATGATGTTCTATTTAGTAAAATTATGACAAATTTAGAGCACAGAGAAAGTTTGATAGTTTTGTCTTTAATGTAATTGAATTCTAACATGCTCATTAGATGTGTCAGTATTTTCTCTGGTTAAATAAATGGCCCAAGATAATTAAATTAGATTTAAATTATGAGTGCCTTTTTAAACACAAATCAACACAAAAATTTATCCTCTGTGGTAGATCAGTATCCAAACTAATCAAAGTTGGAACTTGGAAAAGATTAGTGTGCTCTCTATTTTCAAATGAGAAAAACAAATGACATAATCCTATAAGATCTATAGATAATATGAGATCTTACTCTTGAAAGCTATAAAAAGATTACAGAGAGGTAAACTATCTGTTTACCTTCACTCTTGGACAACGTGTATTTCTCTATAGTTTAATGATGGAAGAGGCAAGAAAAGTCAATTGTACTTTTAATGCCAGGCAGTAGGATAGCTAAGGGTAAAGTCCAAGACGATTTATTTGGGATTAGTTTTAGCAAAAAATACATAATAAAATAACATACGAGGTATATTTTACTATGGCAATAAATATTTTTGAATTTTTATTTTAACATTAATAGAAAAAATATGGAAGTCACAATACCTCTATAAAAGTACATAAAGTCCACACACTAACATATTTAGCATATGGCATCATGCATGAGAGCTTTTAATGAGGATATGTAGTAGTGATTGATTTGCTTTGTTGAGGTGGCCAGCAGTGTGAAGTCAGGGATCTCACAAAGGAGGAGGGAGCTCTTTAGTTGGTTCTTAGAGATGAAAGAAGATTAACTAGTTGGCTATGAAAGAAAAGGGCATTTCAGGCAAAGTTATATGCATTTTCAAAGGTATACAAGCAAACTGTAGCCTAGTGTATTCAAGAAATGAACAAAATTTATTGTAGTGGGATTTTAGTGTCTGTGCATGGGAAATTTATAAGATAATTTATAAGATAATTTGCTGTCACTTGCAAATCCTGAGGAGCCATGTATGAGAAACAAAGAAGGCTGATTTCACAAATCTAAGGGATCTATGGGATTTAGTTATAAGTGGTGGAAGTTTCTTTCTTACCTGGCCATTTTTCCAGAAGGAAGGGCATCTCAACCTGATTCAGATCAGCTGTAAAATCCTTGATGCTCTCGTCTGAGGTGTGCCTCTGGTGGAAGTGAAGACCTTGACTAGGATACTAGGAGGAGTAGGAAAGAACAGGGACCCCATGGTGAGAACAATCCAGAAATCCCACCTCATCTTCCCTGCAGCCAGTGAAAGGCAGAAACCTGCTCTGCAGGGTAACTCTGCCCCTCCTGGGATATCCATGCTGGAACTGGAAAAGGTCCTCATGCTGTACTTAGGTGTCACAAAAGTGATGCTAAACCACATCATAGAACAATTGGAATAAAAAGAACTTTTTCCTGCTGAGAGAGACAATCATTAGAAGAACTGATGGTGGCTCAGCCACACAAGGAAGGGGACTCCTTTTTCAAGGTAGAAAGATGGCAAGTACTTTGAATTTTCAGAAGAGCAGAAGATAAGCATGTTGAATTTACTGTGTGCTCAGCTCTTCATCAGGGATCTTCTGCATTAATGCCAAGAGTGACAGTCATTGCCCAAAGCATGCTATGTAGCCAGGCTGGCAGTTTTATTCCTAGGGAAGTAACCATTATTGACAGCCTGGACTTGTTCAGTTTTTTTTTTTTTTTTTTGACAACCTTAGTTCAGAATCAGTAGAGATGGGGTGACATTTAATACAGGGCATTGATTTGGTAGGAGGAGAACAAGTTGTCAGAGTATATCCACATTCTTATTAATGTAAACTCAATAAGCCACTAGATATGTACAAAGAAGTCTCTCTTCCCTGATAAAGACTACCCAATTATCCTACCAAGAATATGTGGGGCTTGAGAGTTTATTTCTTTGATATCTTCATTATAACAACCCAAAATTAGGTTGATATGTAAAAAAATACTTTCAAGATTAAATTTCAAGTAACTGATGAGAATTTTAATAAAAATATGTTATTCCTACCTAGATCCCCACATGGTAATAGATCTGTCTCTTTGTACCCTTCATGTCATAGAAATAAGGAAACCATAGACTATATCATTTTTTAAATGCAACTTCATCTTGCTAAATGTACTTTTGGAGAGATACTCTTTTTCTGGTTATTGTCAGTTTCTAATTATTCTTTCATCTAATAGGTACCTAGACACACATTTCTTGAATACACACTTCCTTTTCTATTCATTTGTATCTGCTTAGTGCATCAGTCCCGGAACAGTCAATGAAGCACAATCTCCATGAGTTCAACAGAATAGGGGCTTCATTATAGGAATACGGCCTTATGCATTTGTGAAAAGAGCTTAGAAAGTGAAGGTTCCAGGGTCATTTGAGGTTCAGAGAGGAATTCCTAACCAGTCAGTCTGAGAAATCAAGCATTTCCAGCTGCCAAAGTGTGATTTGAAGGGAAAGTTCATGGTAAAAATCTCAAGAAACTGTTGTCTTTGTGAAGCTACCATCTCAATGTGTCCACTTAGGCATGTGATGGGGGTTGATCAACAGGGTGAGTAACTGGAAAAAGTGCTAGACATGGAGTGCCAGTAGGAATATGCTGGACACTTCTGAATGTGTTTGTCACATCTCACTGTGATAACCTCCAGAAAGCAATGGCTACTATTTTACTTTGGCCTTCCATACCTCACACAAATTCTGTTTGGCCAATTTCAGTCTGGTACTATTCAAAGAAAGAAACTCTGGGAAGCTTTGTTTCTGGCTTAGTGCAGTGCAACCCACCATCATCTTCCTCCTCTGTATACTTTGCATTGAGTTATAGCTCATTTAATCACATTTAATCTTCATATAAGATAATACAAAATCATGCTTCTGTTTAACATGATGCAGCTATCCTTCATACAATTTAAGATATACTCACCCTTTTCCCAAAAAAGTACAAAGCCTTTGTACATCTTTGAGTGAAGTTCATTCAATTTTAGTTGGGTTACATTTCTCCTTCAATATCTTCTAAGTTTTATATTGAGATATAAGACTAACAAACAAACAAACAAACAAACAAACAAAAAAACCCCACACCAATGCAGAGAGTAGAAGAATAAGAGAGGGGATTAAAATGAAGAAAAATAATTGTCTATTACACACACAGCCACATGCATGGAAGAAATACTTGTAATTATTTGAGTTTTTCTTTCTGCAACTGGTCCTGAGGTTGTAACTGGTATGTGTAATTTCCTTCTTCCATTACCTGTTCATTATTCTTTTATTTTCTTTTCCTTCAATAAGCAAGCTCCCTCAGCTAGTGGGGTGATGATCCAAGGATCTGTGTCTTTAGCAGTCCTACTTATATTTGGTTCCATTAAGTTTTATAATCCACAATAGTGATACACTGTTGTATTATAGCAATCCATTTATCTGTGAAAGGCAGCACCAATCACTTCCACCAGGAGAGGAACTCTTTTTTTTGGTGGCAGTTGACTGGAAGGGGTGGTCCATTCCATTCTTGTATGTTTTGCATATCTTGGTCTCCCAGCTCTGCCACTCAGGCATCTCCATGTGGAGCAAGTGCACAGTGATTCTCCAGCTGTTTCTAAACTTGTAGCTGGGCCACTTGTGCTTCCTACATCAAAGAGAGCTTGGGACATTTGCTGAGCTCATTTATATATGATTCAAAGACACTTGAAATAAATGCACTTAATTGACTCTTTGTGAAAACAAAGAGAAGCCTGTTTTAAAGGGTTTCTCTTTCCCCTTGGTTTTCAGCAGTTGTATCGTGTTATGTTTACAGATGCTTTTCTTTTCTTCAGTTTGTGTTTCTTTTGCATTCGCTTTGGATTTACCCTGTTTGGAGTTTGCTGAGTTTCTTGAATCCGTGAAGACTTTCATCAATTTGGGGAATTCCTAGTTATAATTTCTTCAAGTATTGTTTCAGTACCATTTTTTCTCTCCTCTCCATAGTTTCATTTCCACAGATTTTAGGTCATTTGAATTGTCTCACATAATTTGTATGCTCTGGTGTTTTATAATTTTTTTTAAAGATATTTTATATTGACTTGTCTTCAGATTTACTAATTCTGTGTTTCCACTCCACTTAAAGCTAGGCAATAGTTTCTTAAATTCAGATATTGCATTTTGCAGATTTAAAGTGTCTACTCTATGTAGCTTTTAAAATGTATGCTAAGATTCTGTTGCAACACTCTGTTGAAATATGCTATTGAAATAATTTTCTGTTGAAAACAGAACCACTTTATTCATTTTCTCTTAACTTTCTTCAACATTAATGAGTTATTTTAAAATTGTTATGGGTTTGAGTTATTTTTTGATAGGTAGCTATTCATTACTTTATCTCTTACTTATGTGTCCTTTTTCCTCCTTCATCACATTTTTAGTAATTTTTATGTACTTACAAAATCTGGGTAATAATATATAGAATCTCTAGATTATTTTCTCTTTCTTTAAAAAGTCAACCTTGTTAAATTGCCAGATAACTTGCCATCTATTGAAGCTTACTTTAGTCTCCGGAAGGGCAGGTTTTTCTTTTCTTTTCTGTTTGGTTGCTGTTTTATTATTCTTTTTGCCCTAGACACAGCCCTTACTCCTAGCATGTGGTC